GAGGAGTGAGGTTCGATTTCTATCTAGACTGGCTCAGCAACATGAAATTAAAAGGGTGCCTGACCGTCGCAGTCTCGCGTTGGTGTCAAGTCCTTTTAACCTCGGCCAAATCGAAAGGAATATCTTATAATCACGCGAATAGCGGCTAAAGATACTTCTTTACGATTCTTAGAAATAAATTTCGGGGAAAAGAAAGGCAACCTCTACATCGCGGGCTCGCGTTCGAGGTCGTATCTTTCTTAACACCATCCTAACATGCCCTATCGCGGCCCAGGTCCGGCAGCGTGGTTGTGTGTGCAATGGTGTAGTGCTAAATCATTAAAGCATGCACAACAAATTATAAACAATCAATTTGAACCTGCAAGAACAAATAACACCTTAATGTCAGGTTCATACCTGGAGTCCTTGCTGCCAAACAAAAATCAATTTGAACAGGAAAAATTTTTTTGGCCTAAGTCCACTTAAAAAAAAAACAAGTCCCCAGCGGAGTCGCCAGTCTGTTGCGACCGAACTCCCGTGCCTTTTTTTTAAACAACAACATGCAAAAAAAAAAAAAAAAAAAAAAAAAAAAAAAGGGGGGGGCTCGCCTGGTACGTGCTAAGTCTAGGTTCGGGACTTAACTCGGGCTCTCCCAAGCCCATACCATATCGCGACTTAGGGTTTAAGTTTTTTTAACATGCAAGTGGTTTATATCAAGGAGTCGCCACTAATCGATTTGGGGTGGGCCGATTAGAAACCCAAATAGGGTGATGGGAGAATCACCCTATTCTGCGAACCGAGATTAAGCGAATTCGGGGACTTGGTTACACTAGTTGGATAACTAATGCCCTTTCGGTACCTTTTTACCCCTGTTCATTTCGAAAACATTTGTCAGGCAATTTGAATTGATTTTAGGACCTTTCTCCTAACATGTGAGGTGATCAAGCGAATGCATAATCAGAAACGATTAGCAGTCAGGAACACAACAATGCATGCAGCCTAAGGTTCTAACCTTAACTAAGTCAGATGACATTCAAAACACAACAGCTCATGCAATTGTATTAAAAACATGCATAACAATACAACGGTAATAAAAACTAACATGCAAAATACTACCGCGCAACCTCAGGCTTGTCTAACTTAAACAAGACAAAAAACATGCATAATAATATCACATTAGATTAAGACACTTAGAATATATCAAACAAATTTTTTAAATTTTTTTTTTCGAAAAAATAAAAAAAAATAAATAAAAAAAATTAATAATAATAATAATAATACAAAAGAAAAGAAAAAGAAAAAAAAATAATTTTTTTTTAAATTTTTTTTTAAAAATAAAATAAAATAATAATATAATATTAACCGGTTCGGCGGATCCGGGTCGGAACCGACCGGGTCAACGGATCCGACCCGGCGTTGACCCGGGTCGGATCGGTCAATCCGGATCGGGTCGGAACCGGCCGAGGTCAACGGATCCGACCCGGTCGTTGACCCGGTCGGAACTGCAGTGTCCGGGTCGGTCGGAACCGACCCGAGTCAACGGATCCGACCCGGGCGTTGACCCGGGTCGGATCTGTTGATTCGGGTCGAATCCGACTCGAACAAACAGATCCGCGGGGAGGGGGGCGCCGGCGAGGCCAAAATTGGCCGTCCGCCGGCCGCCACCCAGCGCTGCCGCCCCTAGTCGCCCGACCAGACCGCCTCGGCCGTGCCACTCACCCGAACCGCCGTTGGACCACCGTTCGCCGGCCGGCGATGGAACAAAAACCGGCGTGGTTGAGGCATTTCGTCGAACGCTTGGCGGGCGCGTGGAAAACGGGGGATTCCGACCTCCTCCGGCGATCCGGTCGGCTCCGGCCCGGCTGGGTTCGCCCGAGACGGTGAGCGGGGACCGGGACCGACGCGTCGGTATGGGCCGGGATTCGAGCGAAACGGCCGGCGCGAGTCCCGGCCAAACCGAGGCAAAAAACAGGGGAAAACAGGGGAGCTTCTCGGCCGAGGGGGGCTCACCGGTCGACGGCGCGTCTGGATGGCCTCCGGCAGGTCTGGCGGCGTCGACGACCGCTGCTGGTTCTTCTTTAGCTCCGGCGTGGCCTCGGTTTCCTCTCTCTCTCTATTCTCTCTGTGTTCTCTCTCTCTCGGTTTCTCTCTATATTTTTTTCCAAAATGGCCGACCGGGGCTGCTTCTGGGGGTCGCCGGTCGGCTTGCCGGTGACGACGAGGCCGGCTGGGACCTGCAAGACCCTCCGAGGCTCCTCTCTCTTCTCGTGTGTCTCTCTGATTCTCTTCGGCCTCTCTCGGACTCTCTCTCCGTTTTTCTCCAAAAATGGCCGACCCCGGGGGCCTCTCTCTCTCTGTGGCCTTAAGGCGACGTCCCCCGGCTCCGTTACGTTGGCAATGACGACGGCCGCACCGGCCTACGCCACCCCACGACTTTCGTGGCCATGGCGAGCCAGTGCAGAGCAGCAGAGAAAGGGGGTCCGGTTCGCGAGGCACAGAGGCCAACGGGGGAGAGAGAGGCCGGAAAAAGGAGGACGGGAGCGGCAATTAATGCCGGTCCGTCGGCGTGCTCTCTCGGCCTTCCTCTGGCCGGATAGCGACGCCGAGGAGCGGCGCCGCCGTGCGTCGGCGTGACGTCTCGAGCAGGGGAGAACAGGGGCGGAGAGAGCGACCGGCGCAGGGGGAAGAAGAAGGAAGGAAGAAGGCTGGGCCGGGCCAGGCCCAGCAGCGGCGTGAGGGAAAGAAGAAGAAAAGGAAAGCGGGCCGGGCCCGCGCGAAGGGAAAAAAGAAAAGGAAAAAGGGCCTGGGCCCGGGGGAAAAAAGGAAAAAAGGAAAAAAGAAATGGGCCGGGTCGGCCCAGCTCCGACCCGGCCCGACTCGATTTTTTTTTTTTTTTTTTAATTTTTGTTTAAAATTTAAGAAAATATGCTCTAATAGTCCCTATTAATGCACATATGCCTAATGTCTATATGCAATGCATTTAAATAGAAATATTTTTTTGTTTTAGGAATTAAAGAAAATTAATTCCTAAATTTTGTGTAATTAATTTTGGGCAAATTAAAAATAGGTGTCAACAGCTGTTATAAACTATAAGTATCTTTCCACCCTCACCTCCTTTATCGGTGCTTGGATTAGCAACGCTAACAACAACTTCCTCAGAGTGACCTTACGTATATCAGTTGTTATTTTCTCAATCGGTCCTTTTCTCCAAAAGTTTATGGTGGAATCATCTCAATAGTAGAATTACTAAAATCTCTTGATATAAGCACGGGTGCTCCTACATTCTCTACGCAAACAATTCATGTATTGCTTAGTTAGTGATTGATCACAAAATAAAAGATCTCAACCATTAATTGATTTTTACACTGTATGAGACTTTGCATGAAGATTATGACAAAATGCATGTAATTTCAACGGGATATGACTAAAACTCGACAGGAGTATAGAAGCATCCATATAAACAATACCCTACACTTTTTTGATCCCTTAAATGTCAAGGATGCATTATTGATACATGTATGCTCACTGTATAACAACTCAGACTATAATGTTTGTGCATTCTTCAATTGAATGGACAATTTGAAGAATGCTTCCCTTCGTTGGGGCAAGATCAACCACACTTCGCCTCCCCGCCACCTTTGCGCTCCCATCCATAACCCAACCCCAAGCACGTCCACGCAAGTGTTCTTGTTCTTCAACACGGTGCTTGTCCACGTCTCCACTTTGCTCATGTGCCATGTGAAGTCCTAGGCCACAATTCCACCCGAGCTCCCTCATTGACTTGGCGTGTGGTCCATGGAGTTGCCCCTTCCGGCAACAATTTAAAGAGAAAATTGCCTAAGAATTGGAGTTCGAGTTGGGTTAAGTATGAGACGCTAAAATTATATTACATAAAAATGGATCGTTATGATTTAAAAAACATCACACCCCCTCAAAAAAGTGAAACCAAAACCCTAAAAGTCAAACCAGACATCGAAATAAGTAAAATCTAATATGTTTTTAGCCAAAAAAAGTAAAATATAATATGTGGGGGTTTTCATACATATTTGAACGAGACAATTTATTGCATAAACTCCGTCTATCATGGCCCAAGTGATACGAGCCGCTAGATGTAATAAGTCTTACGTTAAGGCTACACATCTAATGTGTCATATTACTCATACTAGATAATTTAGTCAAGGATTTCATAAAAATCACACTAATTTCGGAATTGCTGCCCGAACATTAGAAATCGGCAAATAAAGAAAGTTTGATATCCAGTCACAAACGTGTGACGTGTCAATCTCACTATTGGCGTGGTGCAATATAAATAGGGCAAGTCATTCAGCTCACCAAAGTCAAACTTATATAAAGAAGGAAAAAAAAAGTGTAACCACTGCTTTCCATTTTGATTGGTCAAAAACGGAATTTACGTGAAATCTTAGCAAATCTTAGGAGACCTAAACACGCTTATGACGTATTATTCTGTTTATCGATGTGATAGTCCTCTCCTTATCTAATTAAGTGATCTTCAATATTGGAAGTATCGATTCGAAGTTCGATTTCATAAGCCATTAGCACGCATCATTGCATTCAGACGATGAGGATTTACTTAGTTAATTAAGTATGATTTGGACAAGGTATGAAATTAACAAAAGGCGAAGTGTACGATACCTTCCGATCGATAAGATAATCCTCATTAATCTTGTGATCTTCCGGTCATTAATTAATTTTGGTTTAGTAGGCATCACCGGAAACAACTCCAATTTGAATTCAAATCTCACGAGGATGCAATTAGCAAATGATGATGAATGGCGAAGAACAATCATTTTGAAGAGATGACATTGGAGACACATGAATAAACCTTCATCGAGCGTACATGAATGCGCGACACACATGACATATAGTACTAGCTTATTGAATAACCTGTAATCCCTATTCTCTAACATCTAAACCAAGAAAACATATGATGAAAAAGAATTAGAAAACCAAAACGAATGGGCAAAAAACATTTACTAAGAATATAAGAAATAATTGGATCATCAAAGCTTGAGAGTCAAGTCAATTCCGGATGGATCAGAAACATCACTTTGGAGCACTTCTTCTTCAGGATGATCACCTTCTTTCTTCATTGATTTGTTATCATCATGACATACATCGACTTGAGCTTGGTGCGCTTGAGAACTAGCGCTTCCATCAAAAGCAGGAGGAGGAGGAGGAGGAGGCGGCTCGCCAAGCCCAGAGGCACCACCATATGCTTGGAGACTATCGACCCTCATCCGATCGAAAGGCGGTCTCGAATTCGGGTTTATGCCGCACGCTTGCCTTGGACCCCCGAACCGGTACCCTGGAAGCGCGGACGACGGGTAAGAAGGCTTGTGAATCATCGACTCGTGGCGGACCCCGAGCGCCCTACCTATACTCCCATAGAGAGGCATTTGAGGAACACCCGAGTAATAGTATGACAGGTGCGGGTGAACCCCGAGCAGGTCAGCTTCCATCCCCTTGCGCTGTTTGGCGAGCGCCCGCTCTTGCTTGTGCGCGTTCTGATGCCCCCCCAAAGCCTGCGAGGTAGAGAACTCTCGCTTGCAAAAGTTGCACGCGAAAACCCTAGCTTTCGGGACGTTGCATTTCTCCTCTGTTGCCGATTCATCGCTCTTCTTAGCATTCGATGGCACGCCTTGGTTGAAGAGCTTGAGGTCTAGGTCGGTTGACCTGACGCCTCCATTGTCGTCGTCATCGATGGATATCTTCTGATTCGCCAGATGACGGTAAGCAGCGGGTTCGGGTTCGGCATTCTTTTCGCTCATGTTCAATCTGTTCTTGGCCTCGTGACGATGATCATCACAATCTAGGGTTTCTCCAGAAGCAGCTGAGATGCTGGAGCCTTCTGAAGGGCATGACATAATCGCCATTGAATGAAAAGATTTTTTTTACCTTGCAAGCTTATGATATAACAAGGGTTTGATCTATTTATTAGAAAAAAAAGTTTGACAATCAATCTTTTCATTTACGGCAAAGAATCTCCTTTCATAGTTACCGACTCCAACGCAGTTCACGCACATATTGAACAAGATATCCAAGATGTGATGACTGAGCCTTACATGATATGCATACGCCATTATGTACACTGGTCATGTTAATTTTCCAAAAATATCTTGAACTTCTGTTCGACTTACTCAAAAAAATTTTGAAACAATTGATGATAAAAATGGTAAAGATATGGATCCATGGTTGTGAATTACACACCAACTCATGCGTTTAATATATGTTTTATTATGGCATATCTATATAATAAATATATGTGCCAACCACTTACATCTTCCAAATATAGCAATAAAAATATGTGGGAGCACTTAAAAGTATGTTCAATTTAGGCATGCATTGTATGGAAAAGGCATATGGAAAGGCATTTAAAGTACAAAGATATTGTTTTATTCAAAATTGTCCGGTTCTAATAATTTGGTAAGTACATTGTACAAATCGTTGCCTTAATTATGCTTTTCAAAATTAAGGAACCAAGATTCAGTTCACGTAGTCACTTTGATATATGGTATATACGAATTAATTTATTGATCGAGTCAAGTAAAACTATAATCAAGAGCTATTTGACTTTAATTGAAAAGGTTTTATCACTAACACTAAAGTTTAAAAATAAAAAAAGCTTTTGTACATACATAGAAAATCAACCATGAATGTATTTCATTAAATTGGATCGTGTAACCATGCCATGCATATTTGTTATGAACTTCATAGCAATCCACATCTCCTGATTAACTCTTTTAAAATTAGGAAAAAGTTAATAGAATCATATTACTCCATATTTATGATACGACCCCTTCCATTAATATATTTTTTAATCCTATCCTCACAAAATATTCCATATTCCTACCTTAGTTCCATCTTAATAGGGCCTTCACGATGCTTGTTCATTAAGAAATGTACCAAATTGGCAAAAAATATAAAATCAAGTCCTTGAATCATATGGGAGATATTTTCACTATAAGGACCTCTCCAGCCTAAGATTTTTCCCTTGTATAAATCATAATCTAACTTTTACAAATAAATTCGTTTGAGGGAAAATTCCAAATAAGGGCCCGAAGTGTTTTCGTTTTCTCAAATAAGGGCTTGAATTGGACATTATTTTAAATAAGGACTTGAAGTGCCCTTATTTTCTCAAATAAGGGTATGAAGTGGATTTTATTTCAAATAAGAGTCTAAAGTGGCTATATCTGTTTCAAAGAAAGACTTGACTTTCCAGATGGTAAAGGCATTTTCAGCCTTTAACTTTTTTTTAAATTTTTTTTCCGTTTTCTTTTTACCTATTTTCCTTTTTCTGGTTTTATCTTTTTTCTTCGCCGGTGGCCGGTTCCAGTCGCCGATCACCGACCACCGGTGAAGCCTGGGCGAGGGCGACCCTCGCCTAGCCCTTTCTGGGCTTCGCTTGGTGGCCAGTCGCCGGCGAAGAAGACAGAGAAAACCAAAAAAAGAAAAAAAAAAGAAAGGACAGGAAAAAAGGAAAGAAAAAGGTAAAAAGAAAAGAAAGGAAACAAGAAAAGAAAAAAAAATTTAAATTAAAATGATCTTTGGACGAAAATGCCCTTGACCAGCTGGGATTTCGCCGGCCGGTGACCGGCGTGGTTAGGCCCCTATTTGAAACTAATATGGTCACTTCAAACCCTTATTTGAGACTGACATGCTAATTCATGCTCTTATTTGACACAAAAGTCCACTTTATGCACTTATTTGAGAAAATGAAGGCACTTTAGGCTCTTATTTGGATTTTCCCTTCTTTTGATTATCTAATCAATCGCATATTTTAGTCATGTAAAATAGAAAAAAGAAAGTAAAAAAGACTCATTGTGTGCAAATATTAGTTCATGATGACTTCAAGGTTAACTGAATTGGCAAATATTGCCAGAAAAGAAACCACCTTTTCAACATAGGCCAAGCTCTCCTCTATATAGTAAGAGTTGAGTGTTTAGACAACAATATTATTGCAACAGTCATTAAGATTCATGTTGGAAAGGAACCTTGATTCAATTGTTAGGTAATTATTATATTCTCCTTTCATAATTAAACCCAGTTCACAAATATTGAACATGATAACTCGTGCAATGCATGTGCTTATTCTGGCGGCAAGACGATAACATCAAGGGAAATTTTGTCCGAAATTTTCTGCTTTGACCCAATTTGAATAAGCCCCAATTGAATTTACGGCGATATCCAAAATTTTTTACATTAATTGATAATATTTAGTATATCAAGATAATTATCAATTCACTTGGATTTTTTGATGAAATGTTGAAAATTTCAATTAGGTTATTAATTTGTGATGTACAAAAAGATCGAAAGATATCTTCCTTGTTCATGATTCTCTGAAACGTGATTCCTTACGAGGATCATAATTTAAGGAAATTATTTAAAATATGTATTTACAAACTTTTATATGCTTGAATTAATAGATATTGAAATATAAGTTGATTCCGTTGAGTGATAGTTAAAAACTTACCATACTTATTCTTTGCCGATGGGGACCAATATACTCCGAAAGATGTATCGGATATTTTAAAAGTTGAAATTAACTGAATTAAGATTTTCCTAATATCCAATAGCTTTTACTGATAATTTTAGTGGGTTTTTTTTGATTTATTGATGTTTAAAACATGTACCAATTTTCTTGTTTGTTTACTGTGTAAAATATCATCCAAAATTGCCTGATATCTTCATCTTTTCATCCAAATCATATCACTTGTCACCCAAATAATAACTTATATGCTCTTAATTTGTGCTAGTGGACTTAGCCACTATAATGACATCATGCACAACAATTTAGCTAAACCATGGTTTAAAGTCATCATTATAAGTGGAAATAAAAAAAAGAATAGAATAAAATCATTCCATTCCTCCTCATCTCTTGAACGAACCAAAACCTATACATCTTCACTGTTCTTACCTTCTACTCTTCAATAAAGAAAGCCAAATTTTAACTCAACTTTCAACCAATCCCAAAATAAGTCCAATTTGTATTGCTTGAAGTTTTTACATTCACCCATCAAGTTTCTTACAAGGTAAATTCATGGACTTTTTTTTTTACCAAACTAGTTTTGTTTTTGAAGAATGAGGATTGTTAAATTTTTCATATTGTTTGTTTTGCTTTCAAGGTAATTAGAGCTTTGATTTATTCAAGTCTTCCAATCAGGGCAAGTTAAAACCCTGTGGACTAAGTTAGATTAATTTATTTGGTATTCTTGATCTTGGTTAATTGATGTTTGCTCATTTAATTTAAGTTTTGATGTTCAGTTCAGCTGGACTTCAACATTGGCATTTTTAGTTATGGTGATTTCTTGCCTAAACTGAAATATTTTCTACATGCCTAGAAGGTGCTTGAAAGAATACCCAAAAGGTTTGTTGCATCTTGAATGGGAAAAAGAGAGAAAATGGTAAAACTAGAACTAAAATGGGCATTTTAGTAATTTTTGATATGTCTAGGTGCAATATTGTAGATTTCAAAAATTGATAGTGCTCTTTTAACAGTGGTATTCTATAATTTTAATTAGTGGGCTATTAAGTTAGATTAATTAAAGGAAATCGAATCTGTTTAAAATAATTAGTTTTGAAATTTTAGGAGAAAATTTGTAATTTCACCAAGTTAGGGGACTTATATGCAAAAGTTGAAAATTCTAGGGGCCATTCACAGCATTAGAAACTTCACGATAATGGGTAGTTAAGTTATTTTTAGAAATAATTTCTTAATCTAGACAATTTATCTAACTAGTCAAATTTGGACTAAATTGCACAATTAATTTAAAAGTAGGCTGTTTTGATAATTTTATAAAATCCGTTCCATAGTGTAAATGAAATATTTATATGTTTTAGATAACAAATGAATTACCTTTAGCACTTAGTTTAAAATTAAAATGGCTTGATTGAGTGAAGATTGGAAGTTGAAGGAAAAACTGTAAAATGAGAGATTTTATTGGGGGCAATTATTCTAGAATTATAGGAAATTAGTTTTAATATTGATGATTCATGTGAATTTAACCAAGTGGAGTCTTAAAAATGAAAGGGATAAGTACATGGAAATCTTAAAACTTGCCACAAAAGTGCAATTGAGTCCTAAAACTTGTCAAATTGGTGCAATCAAGTTTTTCTGCTAACTCCGTCCAATTTAGCTAATTGAAAATGCTAACACGGCTTTTTTTTTATTTTCTCTCTCCTACGTGGCACTGATATGGTTAAAACGACGTCGTTTTGATCAAAATCTGATTTTTTATATATAAGTTTTATTTAAATTATATTTAAAATGACGACGTTTTAAATTTTGATTATTTTTAATATAATTAAATAAATTTTTATTGAATAATGAGATTTTGACCAAAACGACCTCGATTTAGTCTTATGTTTCATGTTTTAAATATCAAAATTCTAGAGTTGGTTTTGAAGTGGTTCAAAATTGGTCCTATAAGGCTACTTCTTGGGTAGAACTTACAATTCCCGTTATAGAACTAGGAACCTAACCGATCAAGGCTAGTTCCAAAATTTTTAGCCTGAAATCAAACAGGACATGTGGGAACCGGCTTGGAACCGATCAGGTAAGGCCAATTTGGTTCCCAGGTTGAACAAGCCTGGTTGCTTACCCCTTTGATTGGTCAAATATGAAATTTGCATGAAATTTCAACAAATTTTAGGAGACTTATTTTATTTTTTATTTTATTTTGGTCGGTAAATTTTAGGAGACTTAAACATGGTGTATAATGTTGTTTAATAATATGATAGTCGTCATTTACATGTGATCTTCAGGTTCGAAAATATTTATTAAAAATTTGATTCGAGAGCCATCGGTTTGTGTCATTGCATTCCAAGGATCAGATTCTTAGTTAAAGTACGGTTTGGGTATGCATTAAACTAGCAAACAACGAAGTATATTACTCCTTCCCTTTGATAAGATGACCCTCCTCATTAATCATGGGATCATCCGGTCATTAAAGAATTTGGTTTACGCCATTGTAGGCGTCATTGGGAACGACTTCGAGTTAAAGTTCAACTTTCACGAGGATGCAAATACAAATGATGAACGACGAAGAAGAATAGATGACTTCGGAGACACATGAATAGCCATAGATCGAGTCAAATAAGCTATGAACATTCATTGAGCATATATGAACATACGACACACATGACATGTTGTACTAGCTTATTCGAAAACTAAAATCCTATAATCTAACATCTAAACCAACAAAACGTACGAGAAAGATTGAAAAAAAAAATACCAAATAGATGAGCAAAAACTAAGAATGTAATCTTATAATCAAAGCTTGAGAGTCAAATCAATTCCGGATGGATCAGAACCATCACTTTTAAGCACATCTTGTTCTGGATGATCACCTTCTTTTTTCATTGACTTGTTATTATCATGACCCACATCAACTTGCGCTTGGTGCACTGGAAAACTAGTGCTTCCATCAAAAGCAAGAGGAGGAGGGGGAGGCTCACCATGCCCAACGGCACCCCCATATGCTTGAAGACTCTCGACCCTCACACGATCGAAAGGCGGTCTCGAATTCGGGTTCATGCCGCACGCTTGCCTTGGACCCCCAAACCGGTACCCTGAATGCGTGGACGATGGGTAGAAAGGCTTGTGAATCATCGACTCGTGGCGCATCTCGAGCGCCCTACCTGTACTCCCATAAAGAGGCATCTGAGGAACAACCGAGCAATAGTATGATAAGTGCGGATGAACCCCGAGCAAGTCAGCTTCCATCCCCTTGCGCTGTTTGGCGAGGGCCCGCTCTTGCTTGTGCGCGTTCTGGTGCCCACCCAAAGCCTGCGAGGTAGAGAACTCTCGCTTGCAAAAGTTGCATGCAAAAACCCTTGCTTTCGGGGCCTTGCGATTCTCATCCGATGAGGATTCGTCGCCCTTCTTGGCATTGGATGGCACGCCTTGGTTAAAGAGCTTGAGGTCTAGGTCGGTTGACCTGATGCCGCCGTTCTCGTTATCCTCGATGGGTATCTTTTGATTCGCCAGATGACGGTAAGCGGCGGGTTCGGGTTCTGATTCGGTGATCTTTTTGTCCATGTTCAATCTGTTCTTGGCCCTGTGACGATGATCATCACAATCTAGGGTTTCTCCAGAAGCAGCTGAGATGCTGGAGCCTTCTGAAGGGCATGGCATAATCGCCATTGAATGAAAAGATTTTGTTGAGCATGCAAGCTTATGATATAACAAGGGTTTGATCTATTTATTAGAAAAAAATAGTTTGATAACTAATCTTTTTATTTATGGCAAAGAATCTTCTTTCATAGTTACTTACTCTAACCCAGTTCACAAATATCGAACAAGATATCGAAAATGTGATGACTAAGCCTTACAGGATATGTATACGTATGATTATCATCACTGACCTGGAGTGTCCGTGCTGATGATTCATGGCTTGACCGAAACAAAGATCCTCTCCATGATCCGACGCACCAAGATTTGAGAAGTCCGTGACCGAGTTCCGCATGGAGCCAAAGCTGAAGATGAATCATTCCCTTCAAAACGAAATGCCGATCCATGTGTTGTTCCCCAAAGTGATGATCATGCCAAACAACACGGAGGCGGCCAAACCAAAGGAGCCAAATGCTCGACAAGCCAAGAAGCCAAAGGTGAAGAAATCTCGGAAGAATTGGAAGCGCTCCAAGAAGCCATCAAACGACCCCGAATCGAGAGTGCCGAGGGTATCGCTCGAATGGGTGAGGGAGAATGTCACGGTCACGAGGTTTCCGTGCGCCAAGGACCGTACAACATTGACAAAGACTCGTCTAAACCCTAATGGAGCTTCAGGAACATTCTCAGGGATGACGATACAATAATTATGTCTTGTTCTAGAGAGTTCGGCATAAATGCCCGTAGCTGATGGACGGGAAGATACGATCTCGGCCACTCCTTCAAGAATTGATCAATGGATGTAATCTAAGGCCGTCTATTATATAAAGGATGTCCTCTTTCTTATTCGTATAATTCAAATCAATTGAAGCATTTTCATTCTCTCCTAGATCTTCTCTAGAGCGAGTGAGCGATACTCACTCTAGAGAAAAGGCTTCGCTTAGGCGCTTCAACAATCCAAGAAAGTCTAAGTCGTCGCATGGGTCATTCCCAGACTATCGACCCGTGACAAGTATATAGACAAGTCATGTTATTATTCCAAAGATATTTCAAACTTCTCTTGACTTACTCAAATCAAGTGATGATAAAAATGGTAAAGATATGGTTCATGGTTGTAAATTACACGCCAACTCATGCGCTCAATATATGTTTTATTGGGGCATAATAAATATATGTGCCGAGTACTGACATCTTCCAAATATAGCAACAAAAATATGCGGGAGCACTTAAAAATATGTTCAATTGAGGTAGGCATTGTTAGGAAAGGGCATATAGAATTTAAAAGTACAAAGATATTATTTGATTCAAAATTGTCAAGTTGTAAGAATTTGGTAAGTACATTCTACAAATCGTTGCCTTCACCATGCTTTTCAAAATTATGAAACCAAGATCCACTTCATGTAGTCACTTTGACAAGGAAAATTACTGAAAAAGTCATAAATCTATTATACGGATGTCAATTCAGTCTTAAACATATCAGTTTGGCCAATTTAAGCCTTAACAGTATGACAATTTGTCAATATAGTTCTTCCAATCAATTTTTACTAGAAATCGCTGACGTGAACACGAGCTATCCTACGTGATACGATCGGCGCTGATCGATGTTAATAATTTTTGCAAAATTTTAATAATATTTATGAATTTTTAAATATTCTTATTTTCCTTTTTCAGACTGTGGTTGGCAAGGGTCGCTGAGGTCTCGCCGGTAGCAAGCGAGGGAAAATAAAAGAAGATAAAAAATAAAAAATATAAAAAATTTATTAAATACGTTGGCATCGGCCATATCACGTACAACGGTTGGCATTCACATTAGTGGTTTTCGGTCAAAATTGATCGGAAATACTAAATTAACAATTTGTCAAATGTTAAGGAGTAAATTGGCTACATTAAAATGTTTAAGACCGAATTGACATTCTTACAATAAGGTTAGGACTTTTTTGGCAATCATCCCCACTTTGATATATGGTATATGTGAATTAGTTTGCTAATCAAGTCGAGTAGAACTATAACTAAGAACTAATCGGCTTTAGTTGAAAAGAGTTTGCCACTTTCACTTTAAAGTTTAAATCATGCAAAATCGAAAGCATGTGTATATACGTAGAAGATTAACCATGAATTTGTTTCCGTTGTATTAGATGTTGTAACCATACCATGCATATTTATTATGAACTTCATAGTAATCCACAGTGGAAAATAAAACATAGGATCGGATTACTCCGTGTTTACGGTACGATCCTTTCCATTAATACATTCGTTAATCCTAACCTCACAAAATCTTCCATGTCCCTCCCTTAGTTCTTCTCTAGCAGGGCCTTCCCGTTGCTTGTCCACTAAGAAACGTACCAAATTGGCAAATAATAAAAGTCCAAGTCCTTGAAATATGCGGGAGATATTTTCACGATAGGGACCTCTCCAGCCTAAAGATCTTTCCCAAGTATAAACCGTAGTCCAACTGTTAAGAATAAATCTCCATTGATTATCAAATCAACCGCATCTTTAAGCCATATTAAGATTTTTTTCAAAAGAAATGTTAAAAAAGGAGGCCTTGTGTGCAATATTAGCTCATGATGACTTTAGGGTTGACCGAGTTGGCAAATATTGCCAGAAAAGACACCAACTTTCTGAACATTGGCCAAGCTCTCCTATATATAGTAAGAATTCGGTATTTAGACATCCAATATTAGTGCAAGAGTCACTAAATTCTTGTTGGAATGGATTGTTACATTCTTGTTACCTGTCTTCAACCCTTATCCCCCAAAACCTCAACTTCTCCAGCTAATTTTCACAATAACCTTTCTGTCTACTTTTCTCTCTTATAAAAATGCATCATCATCTTCCTAAATAAAGCAAACTCACTCCTGTTCTTCATTTGGGTTCTTGCAAGAACGTCTCCAAGAAAACTTAAACAATGTCTGATGGTAGTGACCCCAAGAAAAGGAAGAGAATTGCACTCATTGTGGTCTCTTCGTTCGTCCTGGTCGTGATTGGTGCCGCTGCGACCATCGGCGTGTACACAACGAGCGACTCCAGGGCGTCGAAAGCCAGCGAGAAAACCAGCGAGATCTCGGCCTCGATCAAAGCCATCGAGGGGATATGCCAACCGACCGATTACAAAGAAGCGTGCGTGCGGAGCCTCAAAGAGGCTGGCGCGAACACCACCGACCCCAAGGAGCTCATAAAAGCCAGCTTTAAAGCCGCGATGAACCACATCGCCGAGGCTGTGAAGAAATCGACCGTGCTGAAAGAGCTGGAGAAGGCCCCGAGAGCGCAGCAAGCCCTAAAAAATTGCAAGGAGTTGATGGAGTACGCAATCGATGACCTTGAGCGCTCGTTTGATGAATTGGGCAAGCTCGAGTATAGCAAGCTGGACGACGCGTTGGCCGACTTGAAAGTCTGGCTCAGCGCCGCGGTCACCTACCAAGAGACATGCTTGGACGGATTCCAGAACACCACGGGCAACGCGGGCCACAAGATGAGGGAGATATTGAAGAGCTCCACCCAATTGACCAGCAATATACTTGCCATGGTCGATGAGATCTCCTTGGCCCTAGCTAAGATGAACCTCCCAAACTTTAAACGCAAGCTCCTATCGGACGGCAACAACGTGATTGGACACGGCGACGACTTCTCGATTTGGGCGACTGACCTGCAGAAGCGCAAGCTACTCGCGGAGGAGGAAGGGACCGGTCCCAACGATCCTCTCCTGTTCTTGGAACCTCCCATCTTGAAAAAGCGCAAGCTACTCGCTGAGGAGGAAGGGACCGGTCCCAACGATCCTCTCCTGTTCTTGGAACCTCCCCTTATCTTGAAAAAGCGCAAGCTACTCGCTGAGGAGGAAGGGACTGGTCCCAACGATCCTCTCCTGTTCTTGGAACCTCCCCTTATCTTGAAAAAGCGCAAGCTACTCACAGAAGAAGGTCTCGGCGCTGATGATCCCCTCGTGCTCTTGGAGCCTCCAATGCTGCTGGGGAAGCGCAAGCTTCTCAGCAAGAGAGTGGCTGATCTGAAGCCGAATCTTGTGGTTGCCAAGGATGGGAGTGGGAGATTCAGGACCATAAATGAAGCCCTAAAGCATATTCCATTGAAGAGCAACAAGACCTTTGTGCTCTACATCAAGGCTGGGGTTTATAAGGAGCAGGTAGTGTTCGACAAGAAGATGACCAATCTCATGGTGGTCGGTGACGGCCCGACCAAGACCCGGATCAGCTTCGACAAGAACTATGTCGATGGCACGACCACATTCAGAACTGCTACAGTTTGTAAGTTTCCTCACGTTTTATTTCTTTCAGTGTATAAAATGTTCTAGATCGATCTTTTTAATCGAGAGAAGTGCTTCAGTCGAGTTGATGCGTGATGATATTCGACCAGTAACGCCCCGAGCCACTTATATATTGAATTGATTTCTTGAATACTCGAAAATTGATTAGTGGTATACGCAAGTACATATGCTCATCAATTCCTTTGATGTTGCAGCTGTCTTTGGAGACCACTTCACGGCGAGGGACATCGGGTTCGAGAACACCGCGGGAGCCATAAAGCACCAGGCCGTGGCGCTGATGGTTCAATCCGACATGTCCATCTTCCACAACTGCCACATGGATGGCCACCAGGACACGCTCTACGTGCACACCAAGCGCCAGTTCTACCGCGACTGCACCATCACCGGTACGATTGACTTCGTCTTTGGGGACGCGGCCGCAGTCTTCCAGAACTGCAAGATGCTCGTTCGGAAGCCGCTGGACAACCAGCAGTGCATCGTGACTGCTCAGGGGAGGAAGGAGCGGCGCCAGGCATCAGCGCTCATCCTCCAGAACTGCGCCATTGCTGCCCACTCCTCGTATACACCCTTCAAGGGGCAGATACGCTCGTACCTCGGGAGGCCATGGAAGGTTTACTCGAGGACGATAATCATGGAGTCGTACATAGACGACATAATCCAGCCCGAGGGGTGGTTGCCTTGGCTCGGCGATTTCGGTCTCAACACTTGCTTCTACACCGAGTACAAGAACCGAGGACCCGGCGCGAGCACCACCAGACGTGTGAAGTGGAAGGGCATCAAGACGATCACGCCGCAGCATGCCACGGACTTCACGGCGGGGCGATTCATGAAGGGCGACAGGTGGATCCGCACGGCCGGAGTACCGTACGTTCCTGGAATGATGAATGCTTGAGGTTTAACATGAATTTGTTTTTGTTTTCTTGGACAGTGTAGTGTACTTGGCTTTAAATGTTGGCATTTGATGTTGGAATTTGGAGGGATTGACGAATCTTTTTCATCGTGTACATAATTCAAATGGCACACCAACTGAAATTTCTTATTTTATTTTCTTACCAAGAAGAAGAAATTAGATGATGTGTGAGCAAAGTGATTAACAAAAACATCATCGGCTCATTGATTCTTCACATTAATTTTCCTGCGATTCAAGCTATTAGAAAATCGAAAAAAGAAATTGAGTATTATTTGTCAAGATGATAAATTGTGCACGTTCAAGCTGCCGGTTCTAACTGTATAAATTGCGCCTTCCGTGAGTTAATTCCGATTTTTCAACTTATATTATCTTCTCCCTCAATTAAAATCGTAACATGGCTGGAATATCTTGAATGGAAAAATAAGGAGATATCCTTTTTGGCTCACATTCTATTCCACAATTTCGAAACAGTGCCCATTTACATGTAGAATTAATTTATAAGGATGTTAATAATTGTTAGCTCCACATATTTGGACTTGTTTGGTAAAATTGAAAATTAAGTGATGAAAATAGAATTAAGATGTTATTTAATGATAATGAAAAATGGATAACTGGGTATTATTAATTTCTTACTCCAATGAATAAACGATTATTATTGGTAAGTTTTATGAAAGTATCGGCAAGATTCTAACTATCAACTTTTATTTTCCTATTGAATGAATTAAATAACTCTTCTCTTACTTACCGAATTAAGTTGATTTTTGACTCAACTGAATCATTTCAGTCAATGCTATTTAAAGTTATCAAACAATGTTAATCTCATTGAGTTTTTTTAGTCATGCTCATGTGTGTAATACAAAGTAGTAGGAAAATTCATTTCACATTTCTATTGCGTATAAAACAATTACGATAGAAGATATGAACCTTAAGCTTTCATAGGGTTTATTGTTAGGGTAAAATATCATTTTTTACCAAGACATCAAGGGTAGTTTTAGAAGTAGTTGAGATAATTACAATGTCATTGCCACCATCTCTCTCCCTTTTATAAAATTAATTTTACACCTTTTTAGTTTTTGAACAATTCAAAATTATTTTTCCTAAACTAGATAAAATGTTCGAAATATTATTTGTTTCCTTACTTATTGATCTTCATTTATTTTTCTTCACTTACAATTTCCGCGTTTTTGCTAGTTAAAAGAAGAAAATTCAAGGCGAACAATTTGTAAGTTTCTAAATGTTCGAAAATAATGGGAATAATTACTTTTTTCCTTAAATTTTCCCCCAAAACTTAGAGGTAATTTATTTTGTTTGTTCTTTTTTAAGTCAGTATATCTCCCATGAAATTTTAAAAGTGAGTCCATCCATGACCCTAATTCTCGTCTTGCCAAGCTTAGGGGTGGCAAATAGGTAGAGCCAACCTAGGCATGGCACGACAGGCCACCAACACATGTTCTGGGGTTGTTCTGAGTGAGTTGTCGTCGCTTGGTCGCAAGTCGTCGTTTGTTGATACCTAGTCCTGGTCAAAACATTAGTCGAATTTAAGTCACTTCAAATCGATCCCAAATTAGTATTAGTTCATCCTGGATAGTGGTTATCGATCTTTAGTTTTTGTCGATCATCGGGTAGTCATCGTCAGTCACTATGAATTGGTGTTCAATCCTTGCCATGCTGTTGGTCACTCTTGCTTTGTCATACATCACTCTTGGGAAATAGCTAGCGCATTCCTTAAGGAATTTGAGCCTTTGAAGTCCTTTGGGAAATAGTTAGGGCATTTGATAAAAATTTGGACCACTTTGAAAAAATGCCAGCATTGGCAAAACTGAAAGCCCAAGACAAGTGGCACAAGGTGGGGAGCTGATAGTTAGTCTATAAGTGTGAGGTAGAGTCCACCCTTCAAGCTAGCTTTTGGTGGTGAAAGAGACCTAGGACCACTTAACACTAGTATCGGACCTCGAGTTACTAGCACGTCTGGACCCAACAGTCACGCAGGAGATATGGATTGTTGCTACTCTGATGCTCGCTGGGTCGGGTGACCTTGCCGGTCAGATTGGGCCTCGCTGGCCACCCTCGTGTAGATAAGATGAATAGTCACAACAAGGGACAAAATGGAAAATGAAAAAGATTAGTGAAAGTAGTTTTGGAAAAAAATCATTTAACCTTAGAAATGACATTTTGCAAATGTTGAAGGCCCACATTTGGTCAATTGCTAAACTAAAAGCTAAACCAAACACCTCATTTTTTTCTCCAAAGCCCATTAAGAAAGCTGAACCAAACACAACTACAATCACCTCAATCATTTCTTGCTCATTTATAATCACTTATCTACGGACCCAAAAAAAAAAAAAAGAACATCACCCATCACTCCTCGTTTTATTGTCATTCAAAGTACAATGGAACCAACCAATAGGGGCTGTCCAAGTGGCGGGAAGGGAAAGATGGGGAGTTCGATTCCCCACCAACCTGTGCACAACATATAGCACACAGAGTGGCTTGTAAATTAGTAATAGAATAGAACCATACAAAAAAAAAAGTACAATAGAGCCAATGATAAATCAACACAAAAATATTTTGAGGAAGAATTTTTGAACTAGGTGCTTGGGCTGCATTGCATTTTTTTTGGGTGAATAACCTTGCTGGTTATCTCGACCAAAAAAAAAAAAAAACCTTGCCGGTTCGACCACGATAGGTTTGCTCAGCAAAAAAAAAAATTAGGAAGTCGATCTTGGTCGTTTCGAAGTTCAATTTTATACCTCATGTAAAACTGGTTTTTAGCGTTTTATGTTTTAGAAAGAGATAGATATGTTGGATATAAATTTCAAATTTTTGAAAATTAAAGAATTCATCAATGTCTCACACAAAGTATATTTGGTTCTCTGGTCAACTTTAGAACTGGCCGGTTCGGTCGTAAGTTTAAGGGAATTGGTTCGACCCCGATTTCAAAAACCGTGATACCACTTTGACAGGATAGATTTCAATTTATTGTTCAGAATCTACATTTTCATCTTGGGAAAATAATATAAATAGTCTATAAACTTTGCCACAATATGCAATGTGAATTATGAACTTTTAATTCATTCAATGCGATTCCTATACTTTAACCAATGTGCAATGTTGTCCATGAACTTTTAATTTGTTCAATGTGATCTTTGAACTTTTGATACTTATTCAATCTAATTCTTGAATTGAAATTTTTAATTTGTTCAATATAATTCTTAAACTTTTGATACATATTTACAAGGACTAGATTGAATTCATAATATAATAATTCAGGAACTATATTGAACATTTATAAGAGAAAATTTCAGGGATCACATCGAACAAATTAACTAGGAATTACATTGCACATTGGGTTAAGATTCGAGGACCATATTGAATAAATAAAAAATTCATGGAATAAATTACATATTAATGCAAAGTTCCGTGATCATTTATGTAATTATTCCTTTCATTTTCACTCTTTATTTAGGTGGGCGAACTTTTTTCTTCTCTGCCTTTTATCTTTCCCTGCATTTCCATTGTTGTTCTGACTCGCACCATTTCTTCGCCCGGTCATCCGAATCTCTGCCTCCTCCAATCAACAGGAAAACCCTAATGGCGGCATCCTCCTCCGCCTCCTCTTCCTCCGCCTCCTCCTCCTCCTCCTCATCCTCCTCCTCCGATTCACCTTCCTCGCCGTCGCGCCGCCGTCGCCGGCACCGCGGCGGCGGCGGCAGCGGCAGCAGCAGCAGCCGCCGCGAGAGGGAGCGGGACGCCCTCAAAGTCCGCAAGAAGAGCCGGTCTCACGGCAAACGGCGGCGCAGGCATCGCCATCGCTCTTCCTCAGATTCCTACTCCTCCTCGGATTATGCCAGGTGCTTCAATTCACGAGAAAGCTCGATTTACCTTCTGAGCTCTTTCGGTGACCTCCCCGATAATCATTAACGAATTTGGATTTGCTCCTGTTTCTATCATTTTCGTGGAGTGGACTCTGCTAGGATTCGTGATTCTTGCGTTCTTTCTCTCGCTGTCTGAGTTATGGTCGTTTGTTGATTCGATGGTTGTTGTTTCTGGAGCTATGTTTTAATTGTTTCTGTGTCGGAGCGTTCCATGGTGATCTTTCCTTGACATAGGAAAAGGAACTTTGGTGTTTTGAGCTCTCGTAGATCAGCTATGCATTCGCGCTGTGTGATGAGGGACTGTATGATGTGTTCTTTGGCTCCCTGCAATTGGAGAACAGCTCAAATTTTGTGGAGTGGATTTTATATGCTGTTGATCCACCGTAGTTGCCTATGTATTTCTGCACTTTGTTATGATTCTAATGTGGCATGTCTTGGTTAAAAATGCGGGTCCGATATACACTGCTGCCAATTGCTTCTTGGCTGATGGTGAAATTTTCGATGGTGTTGTGAAGTGACAGTTCTGAAAGCGGGCATGACACGTCTCATCATTCGAAGAAGCCAAGAAAAAGTGACAAGCCCAAGAAGGTTTATATTTGGTTTTGTGTTTGTTATGTTTGTTTATCTCTATTTATTCACTTGCTTTGCCTTGTCACTCTCCATCTGTTTCTTTTTCTTGACAAGTAGCACAAGGAAAAGGATAGGAGCAAGAATCGTCATCATAAACGTGATAAGCAGAAAGTGAAAGAGGTAAGAGGAGAGTTTACATTTGTGCTATGGTAACCTCACTATAGGCAGTTCTTTGCCTACTCTCCGTGCAGCTGATTTATTAGTCACATCTTTGAAAAGAAAAATGAGTCACGTGTATATATAGTAGGAGATTATTTTAGCAATAAGGTCAGTGCTCTAGCATTTCTAAGTTTCTTTCTCTTCATTGGCATTGGCTTTTCTGAACCAGCTAAGTTGTTTGTTGAGAGAGATTGGATTCAAGTTTTGTAGCTGTGAGATTGATTGACAAAGAAAAAGGTTAAGTAGCTGGAAATGTGGAATCTCAGTAGAGTTTCTGCATGTCTCTTATAGAAAAGAAGTATTGACAGCTCATGCATTTGATTAGTCAATTTTCAATGCAGATCAGATCATTGTGGGGAGGAATTATATGGCATGGTCTCGATGTTAGGACTTGTTGGTGAACTTTTGAATGGTTAACTAGTTTTGACTGTTTTGATATCCTATATCTGTAAAGACTTTGTTGCTTGTGAATGTCTTATGGATATTCTAGCACTGATTTGGCATTTTATAGACAAGGTTACATTTAGGGCACTGATTTGACATTTTGTAGTCAAGGTTACATTTAGGAATGCATCAAGCAGTACAAGTAATTTTGCAATCTCTTAACCTTCAAGATTTTAAGGTCCTTAAGATGCTCATTGCTTTTTTTAATTGCTCTTCGAAATTGGAGCTGGGATCTCTGGCATGGTTATTGGCGGCTTGACTGGCTTGCCTGGATATTTCACTATGTCTGGCAATATGAGCCATATATAGAGTCAGCAGGATGAAAGAGGTAGTGGTCCGGTGCAGCTTTCTAAGGTGTGCATCGTGATTGAACATCTCTAGTTTCCCCTTATATTCTTGCTCTTGTTGTGCCTCATTTATCCTGATGTACCTATACATTTATAGTTTTTGGGGCGGGACCAAGATGATGGTGTTCGTCGCAGTGCTGTCTCTGGCAAAAAGGTAGGGATATTCTTTGTTATGAATTAGTTATGTTACTTATCAGATGGGTGAGGGTATTTCTTGCTTGACGAGTTTGATTCCTTTTATCTTTAATGCTATAGATTCTTTTGAAACTTGACAAAACAAAGGAGGACAAGATGGCTGAAAGCAAAAGAAGTGAACTGCTAAAGTTCTTGAATGCTAGTTTTGATTGATCATTGAGGATGTTGGCCAACTATGGAGGTGAATATACAACATGATGTTTCTTCTTCCGGCCCCATTTGATGGTCCTGGGTTCCTCCTTGGCGACCCTCCGATAAATGTTGTGTTTCTAAGTTTGAACGTTGGGTCTTTATCCATGAGAAGCTGTTGTGAGCTTCTTCGTGACTTTGATTTGGACGACATATGTAAGAAATTGGCGTTTGACTATTTGCTTGTTCTCTTGGCAATGATTGAAGAAGATCCATCATGGATACTTTCAACTTTCAGTCGTGAAAGGGCAGAATTTTGATATACGCCAACGTTTTGACACGGTGATTTCTGGTTGCTTCATGAGTTTCCTTTGATCCCGAAGTCTTTGAAAAAAACAACCTGCATGACGGGGAACCTTCTGAGGTTAGAGCTTGCTTTGTGCCATTGTTTTTTTAGGATGCTTCATGTACCTCGGTCTCTTTCCTTGACCCATGTTATTGCAGTAGTAGAGATTTTTCTGTGAGGGATCGCACATAGTTCTTCTTGGAAACCTCCTGAAGAGAAATGGTTTCCGAGATTTTATGTGTGCGGAAAGCGAAATCAATCCCATCTGCTTGAGCCTTCTCCTTCTTCTCCTCGTGAGAAGATTGAATGGGGATGTGCTCCAATGATGTGGGATGACAATCTCTGTTCATTTGCTAAACACAGTCTATCTGCTAATTTTGTGGAGGTCTCAGGTTGGAAAATGCAGCTTCTATAATTTATTCTTTTGTTTAGAATAATTTAGATGATTTTTTCTAACTCGTCAACACAAATAAGCACTGGTTTTTGCTTGCGGCATCTCTTCTTCTCTTCAATGCGTAATGTTGATGCATAAAGAAAGAAAAAGAAATTTTAAAAATACTAAAGAAGATTGAATTTGAAGGAAAGAATAGTAGATGTCGTCATCTAAACAATAGATATCGCAATTTGGTTGGGTTCATGTGTAATAATATCTTTTCTATGTTGTAACATACTAATAGGTTTAAGGTAGAAGGCGAAAGCGAAAATTTCAAATAGGGGCGAAGTGCCTTCATTTTTTAAAAAAATTGTCTAAAGTTGATCTTTTCTTTTTTAAATAAGGGCATGAAATGTATTACTTAATTTTCAATAAGGATTTGAAGTGACTTATTAAGTCTCAAATAAGGGCATCGCCCACCGGCCGGCCAAATCATCGTCGTCTGGCGAACACATGCATCTCATGTGCTGATTCCGACGCTGTGAAGAGGGGCAATTTCTTCCAAAAGCATTTCTTTCATTTTACTGTTCATCATCTTCTTTGCTCTTGAACATTATTAAAGCCTCCTCCTGTTCATCGTCCTCTTCGCATGGACTCACTCAACCACAGGTTCACTGACGCTCATCCAGCGCCACCCAGACTTCTGAAGCCGAGTCACGACCTTTGACAGCACGTCCACGACGGTTAACAGTCGTCAGAATCTATCTCCGGCCATTTCGGCCGAGACCCCTGTTTCCGATTCCCCTTTTTCAAGCTTCAAGAATCCTCGTTAAAAGACTGAAAAATTTTCTTTCCAAATATTATATCTCCTTTCCAAAGTGCATACATTAAAGGTCGACTAATTCAAGATAACATGGTCATTGCTCGTGAAGCTTTTATTGGATGAAACTCAAAAAGAAAGGAGAAGAAAGGATGGTGTGCCCATAAGCTGGATATGAGTAGGGCTTCTACAATAGGATAGAATGGGAGAGCTTTCTTGATGATGGACCTTTGCAGCATCAGTCACTTCGCGTCCAGGTTTTCTGCCGAAATGATCACGTACCACCACGGCAACTGCATGCACCTTCAGAAACATTTCCGGATGCTTGTCTGATGATGAACATCAACAGACGGATCGGTTTTATCTGCAACTTTTTTGGGAAGAGGCGTTCGATTGGCACTAAGTTCAAGATCATGACGTGACAGTGCAAAATCCAAACCCGCTATTAGTAGTGTAAGAAAAAGAGACGACAAGTTTGACGACTTCTCGTTCGCCGTTCGTCTCGTGCTTGATCCGATCCATAGTCCTCTCGTCCAGTAGCTCACCAGGTTTGCCAATCGAGACTTGATCTCGTTCTGCTTGCCACAACTCAATTTCTTCAAGATCGCTCCGAATTTGAGTAACTGTAGAATCTAGTTTGGTTTCCGTGAAACTGGTTGTGGGGTGTGATTTTTTACTTCTGATCATCCGTGATTACCGACTAAAAATGCGGGGAATTGGGTGAAATTTGAAAGCTCTCCGTTTTATTCGAAGAGGGAGATGAACTACGGTGACCTAAGCAATTCGGCAAAGAGAAAATAATAGGAATATGAGAGAATGAACCGGGTCGTTCTTGCTATCACGTGGGTAGAATTTGCGGAATGCTGGTTTAGTCAGTAGCTGTTCGATGAAAGGATGTGCCGCAGTAGCACAAGTAGATGGTTTGGTTGAGCTCGGATCGATTATCGTTTGGGTCAGTGCAAGTAGAAACACATACCGAAGGATTTGGATTGCGATATGATAAGATAAGATGTGGTTAGAAATTCTTCAAATATTCTCTGGATTGTAAAAATCATTTCCTATGTTTGGTTCAATCCAAGATAGGATTCAAAATCTCTGAAGATCTCGCTTACTCACAGAAATCGTACTTTTCAAATCTAGGGCAGCATCCTCTCGATGTAGTCTCACACGACTTAAACTAGCACCATTTTGAGCCATGACTAGTCACCAAAGTTGCTCCTCCTCCTCCTTTGAAATCCTCCGATTGTCAGCACAGAATCTCAAATCTGAGTAGAGGACAAGATCAGACGTCGAAGCATCGCGACAAAATCAGGTGACCACCGTTCAGGATCAACATACGAACAACCAAAACTTTGTGCGTTTTAGTTTTTTTCTTCTTCATCTTTTTCAAAGACGACTTTTTGGGTCGATCCATCGGTTTCAGGTTACTCATTAGTGACTATTAGTTTAGTTTGACAATCGACCGGATGGCAATGATGATCGGTGTTGGTCGAAGACGATGACGATTGTGCAATGGGTGGGAGCGATAAGCTGTCGTGGTGGCAGTCCTTGCGTGGTGGCTGGTGAAGCCGGACTCCATCATTCCATCGTTGGAAGGTAATTGTTATTTTTTTTTTTACTCTTTTATCCAATCCGGGTCTATCCCACCGCTATTGCATTGTCAAAATTATCGACGTGGACGCCATTCAGCCTATTTCTATTTATAGAGCACAGTATAGGGAGGGAAAATACACTATTGAAGTAATTTGTAAGATGAATTAGTCGCTAAGTTCTCCCTTTTGATTAGTATGATAGCTATGCTCTGACTCATATTTTTCGAGTTCTATCACTTCTGATTTGTTCTTTTCTTTTGAGAAATGTGAGTTCTGAACTCGATATTTTCCGTTGTCTTCACTCTGTAAGATATACATGCGGTTCAACGTGTCAGTTAAGTTCAATTGTAGATGAGTTTGGAGCACATCTCACTAGAGATATCTGCACTTAAAATTGAACTAGTTGGATGCCGCCAGTTGAGAGCTTGATTTGGTCTTGAATTCTATCTTTTTACATGTATTTTCTTGTGTCACTTCACAAAACTAGTAAAAGGATTGTCCTGCTTTTTCTTTAGCTTTGGTGATTTCTGTAGGGGCACTGGCTTTGCTTGGATCCTGCCTAACTATGATTATCTGCATTAAAAAGTTTTAACTGTTTGGCTGCAGCCAGTTGAGGACTTGATTTTGTCTTTGATTCTGCTTTTCATTTTCCGAAGGAATTCCCTGTATTGTTGTCTGTTCTATTCTGAAGCGTGGACTTTTACCACGATAATGATTCTGGTGTCATCATAATTTTCAATGTACCATGTTCTAAGTCATCGATTATGCTTCACAACCAAGCGTAAAATGGTAAGTATATCCCAAGATGAATGAATACGAAAAGTGAAAAGAGGTTTAGAGGGAGAATTGATAAGAAGAAAATCAGCGAAACAAAGTGGATAATTCCTTTTGATGATTATACTGATAACAATGACTTCATGGTACTGTTTAATTGTGATCCTCCGGTTTCTATTGTTGCTGTCTAATTTTCATCTTCCTGATCTATTGTATTACCAGAGCTGTCTTACCATCGACAACTTATGTTCTAGCATTGCCAATTTGGACCTTACCAGGGGCATCGTAACTTATATATGCTATTGTGTCGCATGTTATTCCCACCTATTTATACATTTTCATTGACTTCCATTTGTTTAGTGGGTCCTGTCTCTTTAAATTTTGTCGAGTCCTTTCCTCAAATTTGTGTAGTTCTGGACCAAGGAACACACACAGCTCTCTCTCTCTCTCTCTCTCTCTCTCTCTCTCTCTCTCTCTCTCTCTCTCTCTCTCTCTCTCTCTCTCTCTCTCTCTCTCTCTCTCTCTTATCCTTCTCGACATTGCTTGATTTTTTCTCCTGTCTCAAGTTTCATTTCTACATCCTAGCTCTCCCATGGTATGATTCATGAGGGCCTAGCACTCCAGTGATGTAAAACTTGCAACACTTTTTGAGATAATCTCATGGTTGGATTTTGTTGACCAATGTTGAGAGTCACCTTAATTAGTCGAGAGAATTAATGCATTGATGACCACGTAGTTCCAATGCAACCAACTCGCTTTGAAAACGAAGAGTTTTGCAAATCTCCATGCTTTGGAAAGATGCTTTACGACCACCTTATTTATTGGTGAAAAATCTAGAGCATGGAAGAGATGTCTTATGGCCCTCTATAAATAGGTGATGAAGAGATATGTTGGATAGTGACGTGAGATATGTTGTACATTCCACATCAAAGACAAATTCGACAAAGAGTCGGTGAGGTTGAAGGTTTCGACAACCTCTTTTAATAAGAAAGATCCTCTGTGAGAGAGAGAGTTATTCTCCAAAGGAGATAGAGAGAGCCACCATTGTGTGAAGAGTTTGAGAGATTGTTATCCTCCTGTACTAGGTTGTAATCCACCAATAGGTGAGGGTGATCCACCAATTTTCGGTAAGAAATATTGTTGTAAATCCTACTATTATAGTGGAAGATCTTCGTGGTTTTTCTCTTTCGAGGGATTTTCCACGTAAAATCCGTGTGTCTTCGTCTCTACATTTCTCTTATTTTCTTTTTTGCCAATCTTGATCACGCAAGGAGGGAGAAAGGGTTTCGCTTCCGCATCATCATTATTATACGTCTTCTTCCCAACAACCAAAGCTTGAATACCTCAACTGTGCATGAATTACATTTTGTTCAAATGTCCATAATTAGTCACATCAGAAGTTGAGGAGCGTCCAAGGGTATCTTATTGAATGTGGTAGCGACATATTATCAGTTCATTTAATGTTTAGGTTGTTGGTATTTGCACTGTCATGTCATGATCTTGAACTTATTGCACTCGAATGCCTCTTCCGGAAAAGTTGCGGATAAAACTGATCCCTCTGTTAATGTTCATCAGATAGCATTGGGAAATGTTTCTGAAGGTGCAGTTGCCATGGAATGTGATCATTTCGGTAGAAGACCTTGACGCGAAGGGACTAATGCTGCAGAGGTCCATCGTAATACGCCTCTTGGACGACTTCGCGTGCAAGAAGGCGACAAAGGACCTGGGTTATTTCCTTGCTGTGACGACACTGGACAGCGTCGGCGAAGGGAAAGTGAGACAACATTCTGGAGACGTCCTCTTCCCTGTGGTCTTCAGCGGCATCACCTTCAAGCTTTTCCGGGGAGAAATCCTGGACGGAGTCGTGCACGACGTCTTCAAGCACGGGGTCCTCTTGAGATGCGGGCCTGTCAAGAAAATCTTCCTCTCCAACCTGAAGATGGCGGACTACAAGTACGTGCCTGGGGAGAATCCTGTATTCCTGAACGACAAGCTTTCCAAGATCGGTAAAGATGTGACGGTCCGATGCATGGTAATCGAAACAAGGTGGCTCGAGGCGGAGAGGGAGTTTCAGGCGTTGGTCAGCTTGGAGGGTGATTTCTTAGGACCTGTTTCACAGCAAGTTCGTCACATAACTGGCATGTCTCCACGACGCTGCTCCCTCTGTAAATGAATCACTTCAGATGGGTTCTTCTATTCCGTAATAGTTCTGCTGGTTGTTAATTAACTCGGTTTATTAAGTGGCTTTAGCAAGTTAAAATAGTAATGTTAGGTGACATTTCCTTACTTCTTCTCCTCATCTCCGCGACTTTCTCGATCCGGTTTCTTTCGAAGTATAATTTACCATACATACTTCTGCCGGGTCTGAGCTTGTGGAGCGGAGATATGGAGGCGGCGGCAGTAATGGCAGTTGAGTTGAATGGTGGTGGTAGCGGCGGAGTGGCGATGATGATGACTGTTAACTAATGCATTGGAATTGTGAGTTATTTGAATGGGTCTAGGTTATATTAAGGTGGGGTCGAACATGGGTTGCTAAAACACGTAGAAAAATAGATCAATTCGGTTCGACGCACATGTGACTAGGCACATGATCTAATCCTTTCATTTGCCAACTTTAACAGAAAAAAAAAAAGGAAAAAAGAAAGAACAATCCGTATCCATTTTCTTCAAATTCTGGAAAATATTACACAAAATCAAATTTATTTGCTGTGAAAAAGTGTTTTCTGTATGATCATCATCAAATACTCCAAATTTGGACACCCAGATGGTGCGCGGTCGTTGTTCGACGGCATCACTGCCAAGTGCGAGAGACCCGATTCGTTCCTGTGGAATACGATGATGCGAGCGTATGCCAATAATGGGCATTGTGCGGATACGTTGGAGCTTTGTGTCCCTTATGCGCAGAGGTGGCGTCTTGCCCAGTAACTACACTTTCCCTTTTGTCCTCAAAGCGTGCGCTTCCGATTCGGAGCCGCTTGCGCGCGGTTGGGAAGTTGTTCATGGGGAGACCATTGAAAAAACTGGGTTTGAGTCCGACATGTATGTTGAGGCGGGTTTGGTTGATGCATATGCAAAACGGGGGCAAATCAGTTATGCGCGCAAGGTGTTTGATGGAATGACGCAGAGGAACCTCGTTTGTTGGACCACCATGTTTATTGTTTACTGCCTTTGAGCAGGCTCAGGAGTCACTGATGCTATTTTGCACGATGCAGCGAGAAGAGAGTCTTTCGCCTGATCCCGTTGCTGGGGTTAGTGTTGCCACTGCTGTTGGGCAGGTGGGGGATATTAAGGTAGCGAATGATAACCATTCTGTTCCGGAACGAGTTCCTGAACCAGAAATAGATTTTTCATTTCTGCTCCTCGACGAGTTCTGGAGAAAAAACCCGTTTGATAACGACAAAAATTTCTATTTCTAACAAAAATCCGTTTGATAACAAAGACAAAATTTCTATTTCCCGAAATAAAAACCCGTTTGATAAACAACAGAAAATTCTATTTCAGAACAAAATCCATTTTTTAGAAATGGAATAAAAATAATAAAAAATCCGAAAAATTCATAAAAATCTTTAAAAAAATTCAGAAAATCCCAAAAAATTGAAAAATTCCAGAAAAAATCATCAAAATGTCGAGAAAATAAAAAAATTTAGATTTCGGGAAAATAGGAAATTTGTTGAATTTTTTCAAAAAAAAATCAAGAAATCAAATTTTTCAAAACTTCACTTGAATCTTAGAATACAGAGCTCACCCACTTTTAGTGAAATTTAAATTTTTTAGGTGCCCAAAAAATCAAAAATCAAAAATTTCAAAACTTCACAGAATAGTTTAGAATACATGTGGCTACCCACTTTGAGTGAAATTTAAATTTTTTAAGGTGCCCAAAAAAATTCAAAACTCAAAATTTCAAAACTTTACGAATGGGCTTAGATATCACTGCGCCACCCACTTTGAGTGAAATTTTAATTTTGGAGGTGAAAAAAAGCAAAAAATCAAAAACTTCAAAACTTCACAAAATGACTTAGAATACATGTGGCCATCCACTTTGAGTGAAATTTAAATTTTTTTAGGTGAAAAAAACATAAAAAATCAAAAATTTCAAAACTTCACAAAATGACTTACAATACCTCTAGCCACCCACTTTGAGTAAAATTTAATTTTTTTTAGATGCCCAAATGGTATTTTTTATTTTTTTTTTATTTTTTTTGGTTCCTAAAGAAAATTAAATTTCACTCAAAGTGGATGGCCACATGTATTCTAAGCCACTCTGTGAAGTTTTGAAAATTTTTCTTTTTTGCTTATTTTTATTTTTTTTTCGACACCTAAAAAAAAATTAAATTTCACTCAAAGTGGGTGGCCACAGGTATTCTAAGCAATTATGTGAAGTTTTTATTTTTTTATTTTTTTCAGCACCTAAAAAAATTTAAATTTCGCTTAAAGTGGATGGCCACAGGTATTTTAAGCCATTTTGTGAAGTTTTGAAATTTTTTATTTTTTTATTTTTATTTTTTTCGGCACCTAAAAAAATAAAATTTCGCTCAAAGTGGGTGGCCACAGGTATTTTAAGCCATTCTGTAAAGTTTTGAAATTTTTACTTTTATGCTTATTTTTATTTTTTTTTGCATATAAAAAATTTAAATTTCATTTAAGTGGGTGGCACGGTATTTTAAGCTATTCGTGAAGTTTTGAAATTTTTTATTTTTTATATTTTTTTCAAGCACCTAAAAAATTTAAATTTCATTTCAAAGTGGATGGCCACAAGTATTCTAAGCCATTCGTGAAGTTTTGAAATTTTTGATTTTTGATTTTTTTATTTTTTTCGGCACCTAAAAAATAAAATTTCGCTCAAATGGGTGGCGCAGTATTCTAAGATATTCGTGAAGTTTTTAAATTTTAGAATTTTTTATTTTTTTTTGGCAACTAAAAAAATTAAATTTTGCTCAAAGTGGGTGGCCATAGGTTTTCTAAGCCATTTTGTGAAATTTTGAAATTTTTTATTTTTATTTATTTTTTTCGGTACCTAAAAAAATTTAAATTTCACTGAAAGTGGGTAGCCACAGATTCTAAACCATTCTGTTAAGTTTTGAAATTTTTGATTTTTTACTTTTTTTTCTCACCTCAAAGATCGTGACTTCCATATGAATATGTGTATTGAAGAAAATGAATTCCTCAGAAATGGTTCTCACTTTTGTTCCAGAAATGAAAAATCAACTTTTTTTTTGTTCTCATTTCTGGTTTCAGAATCAGTTTTGGAAGCAAACTTGTCCCGGAAATAGAAAAATGAAATTGCGTTACCAAACGGGTTTATGGTCCAAAACTGATTATGGGAACAAAAAATCAGTTCTGGACAGAACCAGAATGGTTTTCATGCAGCACCTAAGAGTGCTAAACATCATAAAAGATTATAATTACAGCATCTTCAGCTACGTTATTGTGGAATGTTTGAGAGCCATCGACGGCTCGAAAGAATTGAATTTTTTGAAGGAGGTGGTGGAGATCAAACAATGCATGTCCTCGAAAAGTTTGCTCGATATGCTGGCATTTACCAAGTTGGAGACAAATTGGACCCTACCATAAGTTGCAGAGCAGACGGTTCAGCCGGGAAAGCTATTGCAGCTTTTGGTATTGTAGGACAAATAAGTATTATCCCGAAAGTGCAAGAACTCCTGCTGGACAAGTATGAAAGGTGTGCAAATTAAGAGCGAGCAATTCTAGGTTGACACCGGTTCTTAATTTTTGGAATCTACAACTTGCCCTTTAGACCTTGGAATCGGACCTGAATCAATTGGATAGGGTTAGTTCCCCCGATGTGGATCGACTTGAAAACTCAACACAGATGGGCCTCTCATCTCGTTTTTGGAAGTTAGACCTAAAGAAAAACAAATTAAAAATTGGGAAATCTATTAATTTCGCCATAAAATTTCCCGTAACTCTCGAAAACATGCTAATATCCACAATTTCGCCATAAGGTCATGATAAAATTCCTATCGACCGTACCGGTTTGGAGTTTCTTCTTGATACAAAAATTAAATTGAAATAAATAGGGCACGAGTATATCCGATAACTCATAAAAAAAAAACTGACTAATAGTATTTTATTTCTTTTACGTGCATAAATGAAAAAAAGCGAGCTTGACAACGACGCGAGGTGGCCTGGGGCTATTGTGCGCCGCTGGGCTGCGTGCGCGCTCCCTACCTTTTCCCCTCCAAGAAGCAGCAAAGGGAGAAAAAGGGGTTTTAGTTCTCTCCCATCGATCTGAATAAAACCTCCTCTTCATCGTCTTCTTTCTTCGATTCGCTTTGGTCCTCTCTGCAATTATGTTCAAGAAGTAAGCTCTCCATTCCCCCGTATTCCCTCTACCCTCGCCCTCTTCGGTCGCTCCGTGTGTCCGCCGCTTCCGTTCGCGCGCCGCGGTGCCGTTCTGGGTTTCGTTGTGCGATTCGTGGTGTGGTGGGCTTCGTGCTCGCCGATTCGAGGATTTTTTTTTTTTGTTCTTTTTTGTTTGCCGGTGCTGGTTGAATGCGTGCTTTTGAATTGTGCGCGAGTTTTTTCTTTCTGTGGATCGATGTTTCCGGGGGGGAGTGAATCTGTTTGGGGGCAAAAGAATCGTGCGACTTTTTCTAGTCTTGGGTGCTACTTCGGGTTTCGTATGCTCCGGCGGTTAGCAATCTTGTGTTGTCGTTTGGTTGGAAGTCCAAATGAGGTTGAGTAGTGATTGTTGTGTGTGCTGCTGGAGTGTGTGAGCTGCGCTGACTGGGAGGCCAATTTAATGGGGCAGTAAAGCTTAGATAATGCTGATTTTTCTTTGGAGTTTTTTTGCCTCTCCGGATTTGCATTCGGACATGTTGCCGAGTCGTTGTGAATGGAAGGATTGTTGATATAGATTTCTATGAGTTTGTCGGGGCGGGAACATTGGTCGCCCTATGCCAAAGTCTTTTTTCATTTGGGTTTCTCAGTAAGTATCATCTTGCGGTGTGATACACGGGTCGACTGTGGAGACAATTGTCAGGTTGTTTTTCTGGGTAATGGCCTGGGGTACCTGGTCTGTAAGTTTTTTCGGCTTGTGCTCGATTCGAGTTATGAAATACTTGGGTTGGGGGAAGTGGTCGTCCCGAATGCTTTTCTTGCTGTACAGTAACTGTTGGATTAAGGGATTAGAATGCTACCTTCAAAATGGTCCTATTCTGTAGTACTGTTACTGTAAGGTTGTAAGAATGAACGGATTATCCTATTGAAGCTTGGGCAAATTTGTCAGGGATGACTTGCTAGTTGCTCTGTGGTAGAACTCTTTATGATGACTGAGTACTTGCAACATTTTAATCTTCATCAAGACTGGCAAGTCGGATGATGCTTTCAAGTAGATTATCTGTGAATTCTTATGGGTACCGGGTTTCTATATATTGTATTTTTAATTAACTGTTCTTGTCGGCTTTGTTTACCTGCTTGATGCCGATGTTCCTGCCTACGATCCGGAGAGTGTACTCTCTCTCTCTCTCTCTCTCTCTCTCGCACTTTAGATCAACTGGTCACAAATTCACTTTTCAGGTTCTCCTCAGAAGATGTATCTGCACAAAATCAAGTGAAGGCATCTGTACAACGTAAAATACGGCAAAGTATTGCAGAAGAGGTCTGATAATTGTTGGTTATTTAATATTTTATTTTCCTGTCCATCACTTGATATGATTTGATTCACTTGTGCCGTTGATTCAGTATCCAGGGTTAGAGCCGGTGCTGGATGATTTGCTTCCCAAGAAGTCTCCACTCATTGTCGCCAAATGGTTTGTTCTCATCTAATTGCTATTTAATTTGTCGAGCTCTTTTGCAAGATTTCAGTTGATAGACACTTTCTTATTGTGGCTTCGTCTAAAGTTATATAATGCTGTCAAGACTCGCCTCTGAGAGGGCTTTCTTTGCTTCCCTCCAGCCAAAACCATCTGAATTTGGTTCTGGTGAACAATGTGCCTCTGTTTTTCAACATCCGTGATGGTCCTTACATGCCAACCCTACGACTTCTGCATCAATGTAAAGTATCTCTTGCCATCTTCTCGAGTTTTCATAGCTCTCCTTGATTTGTAGATGATAGTACTCTCTACCATAACTTATCTGCTAGTTTTCGCAGTACCATGTCGATGCTACTCTTAGATGGGCCTTAGTAAATTTAGGGCGAGTCCGGATAGGTTTTTACTTTTTGCCTAATCTAAATCTTGCGATGGCCACACTTTTGACTTTTTCTTAATCCGAAACACCTCAAACTTTCACGATATACACATTTTGACACATTGCTTTTGCTGAAGTGTAAACAATCACGCGCTTATGTGTTTTGAGTGATTGCAGAGTGTATATTTCAAAATGCATCTTATTTATAGTTATTCATCAATCTTTAAATTGGAGTTGCATAAAATTTACAGAAAGTCGGATAACTTCAGTGGAGGCTGACATGAGTAAATGCTGATTATGTTTGATTGTTTAGGCTGGTTTCTCGGCTTTAAATTGTGATCATGTCATATTCTTTTTAACTGAGTCATAAGTTGTTAATCCAGGTGTTCTGATTGGGTTTACTCTTAACCTGTGATCTGGTTGAATATATTTTAGATTAACTTCTAGGTTGGAATAGATAAACTTAATGCTCAGACAACACCTCTTTGTCACTTGGAGCAAACCTCATCTGGGGCTTCAATTTGGTAGACGTGCTAAACTTGAACTAGGATGATCATCAGAAAATTTGCCTGTTATGACAATGTTGCTCATTACAAATTCTTGAGTTGCTGTATCTAATGTTGCCGAGTGTGGTGCAGATCCAAACATAATGAAGAAATTACAAGTAGACAGGGGTGCAATAAGATTTGTTCTTGCTGGTGCAAACATTATGTGTCCTGGCCTTACCTCTCCTGGAGGTGCTTTGGATGATGAAGTTGGTGCAGAGACTCCTGTGGTAAGAGTCACACCTATCAATTTCCACAGCTGCACGCCTACCAACTTTCAGTCTATCTAACGATGTTCAGTGCTTGGCTTAATTGGTAGTAGTTCTCTTTTAGGACAGTGTTCAATGTAGACTAGTGTGTTTTTTGCTTTTGGCTGTGGCATTATAGTGTGGAAAGGTATATTTTTTCATATTCTTTTTTTTCAGGCAATTCTGGCTGAAGGCAAGCAACATGCTCTTGCGATAGGCTTTACAAAAATGTCAGCTAAAGACATGTGAGTTTCCTCCTCTATCCACATGCAAGAATCAGAGTATCTTTGATAGAATCATATTTGGAACCTAATCAATAGAATCCTCGGTGAACAACATGAATATCAGCTACTTGTTTCTTGTTTTGCGTATCTTTCACATCTCTTTTTAAGACTAAGTCAATTGCTTGATATGCAGACGGGCTAGTAACAAGGGCATTGGGGTGGATAACATGCATTATCTTAATGATGGTCTTTGGAAGGTAATGCATCATCTGACTTTCCATACTCCTAACCAACCCGAACGACAGAGCAAGCAATTGTTCATTGATGATTTTGTTTACCTGTCATATGATTTTTGTATGGGCTGCAGGCTGCCTCCTGCTGGCCCTATTTGCCTTTGTTAAACCGGCAAACTGACTCATTATCAACCGGTGTTATTAACCCTGCAGATGGAGCGTTTAGATTGATGATGAAGCTTTGGAGTATTCATTCCAGAGGATAGTGTTAATTCATAACTTAAAGACTTTGCAAAGGGCCTTATTTATACTTTCTTTCCGTTTTTGCTGTTCAATTACGAGTCGAGGTGACGTGTTTCTCCATTAGGCTGGTTCTTTTCTTCATTGCATGAAGTTTATGGTCGGGTCTGCTGTACAGATGCATCCCTCGTTAACCATCACGGATTTGGCATTGAATTCTGATACGAGTTGATGGGTAGCATTCGACTATCAAAGCACGATGGTGGAATCCAACTTTTACAGATTCTAGGACAGATCCGGTTGTGGTTCTCTTTGAAACGGATGAGGGAGTCTGTAGAATGGAGTTCTCATGTTCTATCCAGGATCCATTTCAAACTGGTTCAAATCTCTTTCCTGCGTGATTAACGATATTTTTTTGCTGAGTTTCCACGAGAAGAGAGAATCGATGTTAGGTAATGTAAATGCCAAAGGGAATCATTCGTATATTTCTTAAAGCAGGGTGGCCGGCGAGACCATTGCCGGACCACCAGCGAGGGCAGGTATATTAAGTATAAATGCTTGTTCTCTCGTTTGGATTCAAATTTAGAAAATGTGACCTTTATTTACTTTGACGAAACAGAAGAATCTACGGCTGATTTTCAAATTCATCCATGATTTTTTTTTTCGGCCAAGTACCTTGATGATTGCACACATTTTTAATAAATGTCGAGAAATGATTATTGTTTATATGAGGTCTTATACAACACCACGCGCTTAATTCTATTTTGTCATGCCGTTAGATCTAGAGATGTTCTCCTACTCATGTTACAGTTCCCGACTAATCTTCTTCTCTCCATTAGCCTCTACACTTAACCCGGAAACAATGTTCGGGACAGCATGTGTTATGCTACATCATTCGACTCAAATGTTTTCGAGATGCTCCTAATAACCAATGAATAATAAGTGTTTTTTCTTGTGTGGATTCTACTTTAATGGTAATTTCACGAGTCGATCCACCTTTCTTTGAAACAATGGGTCTTTTGGTAAATGATCTCATTTTGTTCATCGGGACCGAGTAGAGACCAAAAGATGGCTTAGAACCAATAGTCCATTATCTAAAGGACCCTTAAGTGCAATTCACTCGTGGATTTTTCAACTTCATTATATTCGGAGCTGAGTCTAACTGTTCAATCAAATGATATTGAGCATATTATCCATATTTTCTCAGGACTCAAATTGCCAACATTCGCACCGGGTAAACTATCGTCTTTCTGGCCCCTGGGCTGATTTTACCAAAGAGGCCGACGATAGACAGTTGCATGCAACTTTCATCGTATGATTGTAGCAGTCGCAATAGAGGCGAGCTCGAAGTCAGAAGCAAAAGAAGACGGTACTCTCTCTCTTTCTCTCTCTATGGCTTTAAGCAAGGACTCCTTCCTCAAGATGTAAATTCGAGATCTTTGGTTCTCATACCAAGTTGAAGTTTAGCGGGCAGCCTTAGATGGTGTTTGATATTTCTTCCAACTCTAGCATTTTTGAGAATCTTAGACTTTGCAAAGATACTGTGCGGGGTGAAGTTCCTAACTACATCTAACGAATGCAAGAAACCAGGCGACGGGCAACTGAAAGAAATAGCACCATTCTATCCCCACCGCTCGCGGTAACAGGGCAAAACAGAGCCAGTGTGAAATCAGAGATGGCCACGAAACATCACAAACCCAAAAGGAGGAGGTCACAGCCGAATTCTCCTACCTTTCTGACACCGATGACTCGGCGGTGGAAGACCCCATTTCCCAGATCAAGGACCTCTACATTCTCGAGCAAAACGCCGCGATCAACGGCTCCTCCTTCACCGTGGACGGCTCCCTCTTGCCCTCCCACCTCAAGTCCGGTTTCTGCAATCTCAAATCCTTCACTCTCCCCAAACCCCAAACCACGATCCTGAATCCGAGCAATCGCAAGACGGAGTCGACGCTCGAACTCGTCCGCGCTGAGGACGCAATTTCCTCGCCATGGAAGAAGCGGAATCCTGATGAGAAATCGCGTCGGAAATCCACAACCAAGTACGATCCAGTCTCTTCACCGATGGATTATCCCGATTCGTGGAGGAAGTCGAAGTCGAAGTCGCCATAGCCGTCGCCATAGCCGTTGCCCCCATGAAAGGCGGCTGCTTCTGGTGCTGTGGTGACCGGGGGACCGTGGGACACACCGTGGGCCGTTTTGCCATTTGAAGGTTGTCGAGGGCGTGGATAAGCAAGCGGAGGCGTGGAAATAGCGACTCCCTTTTGATATTTTGCTAAGAGTCGCAGTTTTTCAAATTCAAGTCGAGACAGTTTTCATATGACCAGAGAGACATGAGATGAAAAACAGAGAAGCAGGAAAAGAAATCGATGCTGCAGTGGAAGGTTACAGAACAAACATATAAACCCCTCTAAATAAGCGATGTGGGCTCAATTGATATACGGAAAGTATTCAAAGTTACAGAACATAGGTTACAGACAAGTCTTATTCATATAAAACACAGAGCACCACATCGAGAGGAACAAACTAGCGCCCTTCGCTAATAATCCTTTAATTCGCGTTGAACACGAACAGGATTACCAATACTAGGGCGCACGCGACGAAAATCGGCCAAGGAAAGTCACCGAGCAGAACGTGCATTAGGAGACCACATTCGATGCATCCGAGAGCGACAGCGATCATATCAGACACAAATCGAAACCTGGGGTCAATAACTTGCCTTCTCATCACGAGGATGAATCCTGGCCTGATGATTTCAATCACCGCGCAGATAAACAGGATGTCTGGTGCACGCGAATGTTGGCCGGACCTATGGCCCTATTCCTCTCCCTGATGAGCTGACGCAACGCCTGCTCGAGCGAATCAAGACCTTCGTTGATTTGAGCTACGTACTGCTGTGCTGCATGCCTTAAACGTCACCAAAAGTGACTTGTTAGACTACCGTCTTTCACAGAAGTGCAAACATTGATAGATCAACAGAGAAAAAAATAAAGGCGATTTGCACTGGTTTCGTGGTTTCAGTATGCAACATTGAAAAGGACGAGTTCACCTGATCTAAGCATAGTGCAGATGGTTTCCGAGCAAAACAGCATGAATTTACTCAGAGTCCTCCAACTTGTTGAAGGAGGTTGGACTACAGAGATGTTGCGGTGCTTACCTCCGAACACCGTGATAGGCTGAGCTGTTGTTTCCCATTGATCTCCAAGCAATGCGTGGCTACGTTCTTCTTTACTTCTACAACATGTCTTATTGACGATGCAAAGATCTTATATATATAGGAATGCTCCCTCAAATCCTTAGCTCCCTCAAGTCTTTAGAACAGGGATGCTCTCTCTCCGTGACAATGACATCGATGTCATTGTCACGGAGAGAGAGCATCCCTGTTCTAAAGACTTGAGGGAGCTAAGGATTTGAGAGATACATCGATGTCATTGTCACGGAGAGAGAGCATCTCTGTTCTAAAGACTTGAGGGATCCATGTCATTGTCACGGAGAGAGAGCATCCCTATTCTAAAGTCTTGAGGGAGCTAAGGATTTGAGAGATACATCGATGTCATTGTCACGGAGAGAGAGCATCCCTGTTCTGAAGACTTGAGGGAGCTAAGGATTTGAGAGAGAGAGACACCGATGTCATTGTCACGGAGAGAGAGCATCCCTGTTCTAAAGACTTGAGGGAGCTAAGGATTTGAGGGAGCATGTTTCTGATGACTTGAGGGAGTATTCCCAATATATATACACACACATATATATTGACAATGACAAGGCCCAACGCCTCTTTCTTTACTTCGCCTTCGCATCCTCGTTTGGTAGACAGTTTTGCATGGTAAATGACAAATTTCATAATTTCGATTTGCCACTCGATGGGAAATATATATCAATTAGTCCCCAACACTCAACCCCGATGAAAAAATTTCGTTCGTTGATGTAATTTAATGTTCCTCTAAGGTTCGAGGAGGATAGTGATTGAAAAGTTATGATTTTTATTATTTGTTGATTTTTGAGAGTCGAGATTTGAATTGTGGTGTGCATTGGGCCCGGTTTAACACGGGAATCGAACCGAATTGGCTTGGACTGACCGGTTCAAGGTTAGTTCTAGCAATAATCGGTTCAATTTCCTGTTCCGTGAACCTTGAAGCGGCCTAGGATCGGATCGGATCGGTTCCCGATTTCTAGGTCGGAACCGCCAGTTCTATTCAAGAATCGGTTCCCGAATTAAATCGGTTTTCAAGTCTTCTTCTTTTTCTTTTTTTCCCCTTTCAAATCATACATATATTTCTTAAAGGGGAGCGGCCCTAGTGAGGTTTGCCACCATCGCCGGACCACCAGAGAGGGCAGATATAATGTTCATACGTAAATTTGAGTTTAGAATTAATGTTGGGTAATGTAATTGCTAAAGGCAATTGCGCTAGTTTCTCATTTTTACATCATATATTTTATCCTCACGTAAGAATATTTGTAACATTGCTTTAAGATTTAAAACAATTACTCTTTGTGTTTTGGGAGTAAGTTACCACGCCGACCTCTCAATTCATCACTATAAAAAAAATAAAACCTAAAGTATTATGTGAATGAACTTTATTGCATGTCCATTTACGGCCCTATAGACGAGCATATTTATTAGTAATAGATGTTACCTTAGTGATATACACGAAGTGGGTCAAAAGATTAATTCGAGTTGGGCTCTAAGAATAGTGCAAGCAAATTAAAGACGTTGAATCGATCATAGTTTTCGATTTTACCGAATAATATGTAATCATTATTTACTCGGACGAAATAAAAGAATCCATATTTAAATTCCTAGATGATTTTTTTTTGGGGGCCAAGTAACTTTTTAATGCTTTTAAGAGATGTTAAGAAATGATTTTTTTATAAGGTCTTATAGAACATTGAGCCCTTCATTCAATTTTTTTCTAAGAACGTCAGATCAAGAGCCGTTCTCGTGCATGTGTACCATTCCGATTGAATTTCCACGCTATACTAATGGATCTGACCTGGAGACAAACCTCGCAGCCTCTTGCAAAAACCATAGCCTCGTTTCTTCTTCGCTCGAAGTTTAATCAATTGTGTAAAAAACACAAATTCAATGAGGATTTCAACCTCAAACTTGTACTTGTCCGGCCTGCTTTACTTACGTAGTTCGGTTGAACAAGTTACTTAGAATTTGTCAGCTATCCAATTAGCTACTTTAGATTGAATTTTTATTGTACAGAGATCGCTGAGTTCGTAATATGAGGAGTGAGCTACAAATTATATCAAACTCGCAATGCGTGTACCATAAACGAAATCCAAAAGAAAGAATAGCGAATGAGAATTATGTGATTCATTTTTTTAGTTGCAGGCCTCCATAGTTTGAGCTCCCCGCTTTATTCCGCACCCAGAAAACTAAAATCAACTGCTAGTTACACTAGGCGGATGCATCTCGATGTAAATTACAAGTTAAAGTTTAGAGTGCAACACTCAAATTGACATGTAATGGGAATAAATCTAGAAGAGAAGAAAGAAAATGATTTGGCATGGCATGTTACTTTGTGGATAGTAAATGACGCCGCAAGTGTGACGTCAAAGTGGGGCTTTTTATAAGTGGAAAGTGGAATGCGGTCTGGATATTGGACATGTCTTCTTCCTTATGTTTGACTTTCCCATCTTGTTGCTTCCACTCATCCTGAAAAATGATGGCCCTAATACCCTAAAAAACCTTTAATTTTAGTTTCTATCTCAATTTTATCTTTTCATAAAAAACTTCCAATTTTAGGTTTTATCTCAATCCTACCATAAACTTTTTTTTATCTCATAAAAAGTCATCAACTTTAGATTATATCTTAGTTCTACCCTAAACTTTTTTTGTCCTATGAAAAATCTCAAACTTTATGTGTTGTTCCAATTTTAACCTGAAATTTTTACAGTCTTTTCAAAAACCGTAAACTTTTACTTGAGTCATAAATGTACCTCCATTAACCCTACATCCAAAATTTTTCGTTGATTGCCGAGAGATGGAAAACTCTCAAGCACGAGCTGTTTGAGCGTACTGAGCGTACTGAGCGCAAGCTCTCCGACATGAGAGATAGAACATTCCCAATCATAAGAGATTGACGAGTGCAAAATCCCTAATGCGATTTTGATGGAGGGTTAATGGAAAGCAGATTTGAAACTCAAGTAAAAGTTGGTTATCTTTTTCTAGACAAAAAAAAATTAGAGTGAAATTGAAATTGGACCTAAAGTTGAGTGTTTTTTATGAGAGAAAAAAAGTTTAGCATATAATTGAGATTGGACTTAAAGTTTGGGATTTTTTATAGGATAAAAAATGGTTTAGGGTAGAATTGGGACATAAAGTTGGGGGGTTTTTATGAGACAAAAGGTAAAATTGGGATAAGAGCTAAAGTTGGAGATTTTTTAGGGTATTAGGCCAAAAAAAAATGGTGTTGGACTTTTGTGTTTTTGGTGCATTATTCAATAGCTTATTATTGAATTCAATGGTGTTGGTTTTCCGAATTCTTTCGCACGGATGTCTTATTTTGTTGTAGAATGGTATACATGTTTAATTAGGGATGTATGGTTTCATCATATGTTGATTTTGAATATTGTAATTATCGTTAGGTGAAGTGAAATCATATATGTATATAAAAAAAAACGTATAAACCCTATAAATAAGCGATGCCTTAAGTTTTAACATCCATCATCATCATAAAATGTGTTTAGGTAAAAAATACAAGAACCAAACCCAGCAAACACCGGGAGGACCATACCTCACCGGCGGCGGCGGAAGGTTACACAAGCAGACAAAACTTCATAGAAAATACACATCACCGTGAGGACCAGACCCTGGCAAACACCAGGAGGACCAGACCTCACCACCAGAAAATTACACGAGCAGACCAAAATTCAAAGAAAATACACGTCACCAGGAGGACCAGACCCAGCAAACACCAGACCCTCAGCCATATTGGAAGCCGGAAACTGTCGCCGTTCGCTAATTAATCCTTTGATTCGCGATGAACACGAAAGGGATGACCAAAATCAGGATGCACTCAACGAAAATGGGCCAAGGCGTGTCACCAAGAAGAATGCACATTTGGAGACTGCACGAGACACATCCAAGAGCAGTAGAGATGAGAGCATATGGAAGTTGGAACCTCCGCCCGTATCTTGCCTTTCCATCTCAAAGACTAATTTTTGCCTGACTATTTTGATCGCCGCGCAGATAAGCATTGTGCCGGGTCCATTGGCAAAGTTGGCTCAACCTGTAGAGCTACGCCTGTCCCTGATGAGCTGGCGCATGGCCTCGTCCAGTGTATCTAGATATTTGTTACATTCTGCAGCAATTCGAACTGCACGCTCTGCTCCATTTCTTAGATTAAAATGAGCAAACTTGTTAGACATCCATTTTTCACATGAAGTCAAACAATAAGGATCAAGAATAAACTCATGGATCGTTAAACAAACCAAACCAAGAAAAAACTGGACGATTGTACTTGTACTGTGTCCCAATGCATCATAAGAAAGGACGAGTTCATCGTACAGATTGTTTTGGAAGAAAACAGCATTCACGAAACGGAACACACACGGTGGACATGATCAGAGATAGGGAGTTCTTTTTCAGGAAAGGAATTCAAGACTGCATGAATGCGCTCGCAGTCCTCCAACTTATTGAAGGCGGCCGGACTACAGAAGTGAAGTGATGGTACAGTTCGTGGTCCATGCTTACATCGTGATCGGCTGAGTTGTTTTTTCCCATTAAACTCCGAGCTTCGTGTGATTAACCTCTTCCTTTCCTCGTCTGGAACAAAACTTGACGCGAGCCTACGATTTGGCAAGCACATTTTGTAGACCCCCGCATTTGAGTTTTTCAAATCGTTTATTTTCTCAAAGCTTTTAGTACGCAGAAAACGTCAAAGACCCCCGCATTTGAGTTTTTCTCAAATGACCCCCCAACACTTGACAAATATATATCAATTAGCCCCCCCGATGCTTAACCCCGATGAGAAAAGTGGCCGGTCAGAGGTTCACACGCATCTCGCATACACTTACATTCTCTG